CGAAGCTTCTGAGTCGAAGTCGGCGATTTTCTCCCGCTGCGGTATTTATTGTAGGCTAGATGCCAAATATAGATGGACAGTGTTGTCGTTGATCAAATTTATAACTAATCATACCCTCTATCAAATCGATAACTCTATGCAGAGTAGGAAATATAGAAATCAAGTCACCAAACTATTCGTTTACCGCACTGTTTCTCTTATCCAGACCGAAAAACAGCGCAGAATGAGAGATTGATCCATTGTCAGCAGCAATTATCCCATTCATCGACGGAACTGGTAATATACAGACTACTAAACCCTAGATAGTAATTCAGGAATATAATTAATTCTCAATTGGCTAAGATCAAATCGTGGGCATAATCCTAGATTCTATTTGTTCTTCTTCATTTTTTTGGAATGGTATAGGAGTCACCTGTATGGATAAAGACTAATGCATAACTCTCGTCACCTTCAAAAGCCACTCTCAGCCATAGTTACAACCGAACACTCAAGCGAGCTATAATGACCCTGTAGAGAATTTGAACCCATGGCGCACCCTGGATAGGGTTTAGTAACACCGGACACCGCTCCTGCCTCCCCAAACAATTTCCCTTGAGATTGAAGCTGTCAGCTGTAGAAAAGAAGATATAAGTGATCTGTTACTTTCGGCTGCCTGCCCCGTAGTTTTACCGAAGCCGATCAGGTCTGTAGGTTGTTTCACTCTCGTCCCAGGGCGAGCTGTTTCCTGGGACGAATAGTCACGAATTCCGTTTTGCTTGCGCATCCGAGGAGTTGAGCAGTCAGGAGGGCGCCTGCGCGTCGATCGATACGTTGCGCTTGGCCATCCATTCATCCTGCCCCCACCTCCTGTCCCTTTCCACTACCTGATGAAACTCGATCGTACTCGTTTTGCCTGCGTCATATCAATCTAATGCTTCCGTATCTAGGCGGTATCATAGAGGGGGATCGTTGCCAATCAGGCACTGATACGTGGCCGATCCTCGACCAAACCACCTGCCTTCCATCTCATTTCAATCTTACAGTGCCCATCGGCAGTACGGTACTTCTGCTTTCTGAGCATTCGATTTGTACGTTCGTTTTATGACAGTTATACTATTTTTGTGCACTACGCTTGATAATTCTGTTGGCCAGACTAGGGCCAGTTCTAGGAGTTATGATTAATGAGTTTGAACGCCTTTATGTTCCGGTCTGGAAGACTCTAGCAACCTCACACGACTCAGAGGTTCAAAGACTGTAATAGGATTAACTTTGCTTCTCCGATTCCCACGGAAAAGCGAGCAATCGCGGGGCTTCGGCCTCAGGAAGGATTCTGCTGTCAATGGAGCCCAGACGGTGGTTCGGACTCAACTGGCGGTCCACGGAGTGGTGGGGGACCGCTTTCTTCCGACTTCCGCACCATAACATGTTTTAAGCTCAGAAAATGTTCTCTTTCATAGCCGTGTGGGGCTCACATTTATCTGAGGGCCGTGAATTTTTGATTGGTGGTGAACTCCATTCCTCTTAATAGGAAGAGCAGCAGAAGTTCATCAAGAGGTCTCTTCTTACAACCAAGCTCTTCATTCTAAAGTATTAAGTACCATTACCATTCACTCGTCGCCCAGAATAACTCACCATCATTTACCTTATCGGAAAGCTATCACATGCTATAGACATATACCTTTTGAAAGGAGCAAACTAAAGATGAACTGGATCAGAAAACAGTGTTGGTGGTAGGGAAGTTTTAGAGCAGAGGGATTCGGGTTCTCTTGAAGCGCAACGTACACGTTAGTGATTGGCTTCTGATGAAGAAGTTAGAAAAGTAGGATAGAGAGGAGGGGATGGGATTGGAGGAGTGTAGACGGATGAAATTCAGTAAATCTTTTTCTTGATTCGCGAAAAGTGAGAAAAACTGGGAATCGACAGTCTACAGCACCATATTTCCAAGGGACCACATTCCGTTTCTTGTTTCCTGCTTGACGACCTTCCTCTAGATTTTGAACAATGCGCAGTCTAAACGGGCAGTCGTACAATCACAAGGAGTATTTTAGTGGCCATTGCTCATTTTGCTTGACTTTTGCTTACACTTGGGTGTCAGCAGATTAGCCTTCGACCAGGTCGCTATGACGTTGAGTACAGGTGCATGGCTCACCTTGGACAGAATCTGGTCAACGTTGACCGTCCTGACCATATTCTCACACAATGCTAGGCCAGTCTCAAAATGTAGCGTTCCTGTAGGCTCATGACATTTGTCCCAAACCCACCTTCGGTAGACGTTGCACTGATGCCAGCTCAAAAGGACTTTCAACGTTTTTCGTCATTCTGACATCCCTCTATGCTATAGATTTTTTTCAGCGAAAGGACACCGTACTCAGGGAAATCGGCTTTATACTTTACTCCAATTGAAGTAATTCTCGTAGAAGCTAAGGGAACCGAACGTATAGAAAGCACCGCTGTCTTCAAAACCCTCTTCAACACTAGCGTCCAGCGAATGGGTAGGATGTGGTTCCCCACTAGTTCGTGCTGATCAGCGTCGCAGACTGCGCTCTTTAGCGCAGGTTCCATTCTTAGGAACAACTGGTTCATCGCTAATTCAATGAACTGACGCAACGTGAAAAATGGTGGGATTGCTGACTGGTTACCTGTCTTGCCATCATGTCCTTAGTGGTGAGCTAAAGCGTCAACGTTCTGTCTGTCGATCGCACAAGGTATATTATGGATTGCCACGATTCCAAACTTTTTTTTTTTACGAAATTGGAATTGTTGTGGCTGATTGAATGTGGTGCTTTGCTAGCTATAAGATTCTGCTTTTTTTTTTTGAGATCGTTGCTATGAACGACGACACCAATGTTTCCCTCTATGAACCTCAAAAATGGCGTCTCCCAGCTCGAATCCTACCATGATGTATGCATCGAAACGGTCTGCTTCACGAACGAAGTTCACAAGAGTCAGCACAACGCCTACGCTATGCGTACTTTGCTCAACAGAACGGATAAATTGACGCGGTATATTGACCAGTTCTATTTCCTTCAGAAACGCCATGTCTCTGAGTTCCATCTTGTCACTCTAAGTGCCATCTTGCCACGATGCACAGGGGTGATACTAGAACGAGTGTACTCAAAGAGTGGAACCTGTAACCCTAATTTGTACTAGTAACCGAGCTGGTAGGACTATACTCAGATGGCTGTATTAGTGCCCACGGAAGTGCCGCTTGCCGCTACCTTGCCTCATTCCAGTCCTAAAGCCACCCTGTACTCCGATCGTTCTGTTTATCATCTATTCGCTTGACGGAGCGCCACTAGTGTCTCCATCCGTCCCTGGCGTGAGCCAGTGTAGTCTACTGCACATTAGTCGTTCGACAAGACCCGTATTGTTCCTTTCGTTCAGAGGTAGCCTTATAATGAATTCTGTTCATCGAGACGGCGGCAGTCAATGTGTTTGCATCAGCCCCGAATGAACAAGTAGTCAACCGAATATCTAAGAATCCTATGAGAAGTCTGAAGTATCTGCACTTCAAATCATGAGCATGCGACCCAATTTTCTTCCGTAGCGATGCTCGGAACTCACTACTCCCCTTTGCATGTGTTTGTATCAGAATTTCCGAGCGCTGCCCTTTCCGCAGCGCGTAAATGACGCTGACTACATGTATACCCTGTCAGCGCAAAGTCCAAGCTTCTAAGGGGCAAGCCAAGGCTGAAAGGACACGCACAATCGAAAATACGGAGCAGAGCCGGATGTCCTTTGTCTTCTCCAGTTCTCCTTCGGTGTTCCTTAATGCTTCCCATGTCGCTCGCTTCCTTTTGCTCAGCTCTGTGGCTAGGTAATTCATCACGTTGATCCCTCGACTTATTGCTAGTTACACATAGCTAAGCATTCTGAGATGTCCGGCTCAGCGTAAAAGGATAATGAAGAACCAATAGTTTCCGCTACAATCCGACCTTTCCATAAGCAACTGTCAAAGCCAGACACTTTTTCCGCCTGCTCGATATTCGTCATTATACGCACGAAGTCGTCTGCAAAGCGGAAGTGGCGCGACTACGTTGACCTTTTCTCTCAAGTCTTCCCTTTTTCAACTGACGCATGGCGTTTTTGAGACGAGTGGTGGGAATTTTGGCGAGACCGTACCATTCTATCGGCATCCTTCATTCCATGGGCATCCTTCGTTCATGTCGATGATCTCCGTGAAGAATGGCGAGGTTCAGGTCCTAGTTATTGTAACGTTTACAAAGTATTTACAAATAGTGAGTAGGATCAACTCTAGGTGCTGTCGAGGCCTTGGGTAACCGCTCCTCTCTCAACAGGCAGGGACCTTCTAATGGATGCACGTTAAAAATAATAGCACATTACACTCTCGCAACATTTCGTTGAGCCATGAACACCGTCATTGTTACGTTCAAGTGCAAACTGAAAGATGCCGACTATATCTTCTTCTTCATGCTGTTACTGAGACCCATTTTATATCATTGTCAAAGAGAGACTCCGGAACCAAATTTTGTGTTCTCTGTATTAAGGCTATCTGGATGGGCTTCTGATTACTGGCGTTTGAAAAGTGCGGCAGTTTAACGACACCTTTAATGGTTGCTTTCATAGTCCGCGAGCGAGCGAGGGCGCGAGCCGGCCGGGGGACAAGTCGTCCGACCGTATCGACTAAGATTAGTTGTAAACAAGGGGCAAGCGCCACCCCGGTCGCTCGCGCGCTCGCGGCCAAATCGAGGACTGTGAAAGCAGCCAACGCGCGTCAAGAAAATACTAATTGAATCGATTTGGAATTGATACGTCTTTATTATCTTGCCCAAAGACTGACACAAAGTCAAGCGTCTCTTCGCCTTTTCAAAGGCATATTTTAGCGTGAAGCCAAACCTACTCATCCTTTTCCGCCAACGATTCTATGCTCCCTTGATCAGTTCCTAAGGCAGCTTTAGTTCGCATTGTCGTGAGATGTGGAGATGTTCATAATGAGATTACTAGAATATTGTTTGTACGGATAATGAAAATTTCTCTACTTTCTCAGGCCGCCACCCTCCATGGCTGTCTTTATCTGCGTTGAGTTGGAATCTATTGTCGGACTTCCCGAAATCATGAACTGTCTGGTAGGTGCATGAGCTGTAGAACTGCATTACTGTCACCTAGACTACTACTTTCCAGCTTGAAAAAAGTATCAAGTTCACGGTGTCGAAAGATCGTCGAAGTCTCTGTGATACATGTAGTGCAAAGGACGACTCCCTACAGCTTTCATCGACCACATCTATAACCCCTGTGATTCCTACATCAACACCTTCGTCGATCTCGCTGGAGCAAATCGAATCATATCCTCGGTCGGAGAGCGTCGACAGTGAGGTCCACGATATGGTCAAGAGTGAGGACTGTACGGCACAGTTTAGCGATGTGAGTGGTCATGGTAAATGCCCTTTTTTGCTTTAGCTATGGGGATCGACTACACAAAAAACCATGAAATATTGTTTAGCATAGTTAATTTAGGGATGAAGTTGCCGTTATATTTGGGAGAGAGTGTCCAATTTCTTGCAGTGTGGTAAATCAGAGGGATGGGTCTAGTAGTGGCACCGCTGTCGCCTCACCGAGTCTTGGGTGCCGCAACTTCTCTCCGAATTTACGCGGCACGCGGCAAAGGTCATGCGGCGGCTACCCTATCTTTGCACTGGGAATTCAAACCTTTCTCTCGAAGCGCGCGACTTCGTGCCATTGGGTGCGGCGAACTCGACGCCGTTTTCGGGAAGAAGGTACCGACCCCCGAATCTTGGCTGCCCACTCACAATGCTCTCGGCTAGTCTTGTCAGGAGCCTCTACCATTTACGGAATAAAGATGGAGGGTCCTAGCAGGACTAGCCTGGACTGCAACGACTAATTTGAGCGAGCCTAATGCGATGATGCTTCTCGACCCACTTGTTCAGTTCACATGCTAAGGTGCTATCATACTCAACGGTTCGCTTGCGGCTGAAGGGGTATGGGTACATTCACCCAGAACTGGATGGACGCGGCAAATCGCGCGGCGATTTAAATGACTTTAGCGCCTGTCTTTGGGGCCAAATTTGTAGTAAAGTTTATTGGAACGATCATCTGACCATACTAATGTACTCTACTTCAAGGTTGCGAACCAATGATAGGTGCCAAAGTCGTCCTAAACGTCACGAAACTCGCCGCAACATTTGCCGCGTCCATCCAGTTCTGGGTGAATGTTCCGTCCCCCGGCTGAAGGGCTCAGTTCATGATAATCTTGAGTTATCTAGTTTTAGACCAGTCATGGGAGTGATGGTCCAGAATGTTGCAAAATTGGCGAAGAGAACATGAAAACCGGCATATTTAGAAAAATATAAGGCTTCAAGAAAGAAATAAAATCAGGAAAATATACGGTTGCCAACCTAATAAAACGACATTTGCATCAGGAAATAGCTAAAAAGGATAATTCGAATAAAAAAGTACAAAGAAATGGCGGATAGATACGTAGGGGGTGTGAGTTACACCCGATGTGTTTCAAACTTGTTCTAACATGTTCCAACATGTATGCATAGCAGTCCCGATCAATACGATCAATACGTACCGTTCTCATGTTCTCATGGGACACCACCATTGTCAAGTGGCTCAAATTTTCGGCGCTTAAATTCTCAAGGAAGATAGAATGGGAAAAGGAAGTATAATTCCATGCGGTTTCATCAACTGGAATGACCAATCCCTTGGCCGATTTTACTAGGCACCACTTTGAGCCGTTGCCAGGAATGGGCTGGATGACGCTTCTAATAGTATTTCTAAGAAAAAGTGTGAATCTGGTGCCATGGTCAAGTAGCCGGGATGGGACCGCCTGCGTTGGCCCTGAACGAGGTTCCAGAGCTGCGGCCCGTATAGATTCCCTGACCCTCAGTACTCTTTGGGATTGGCTAGGGTTAATGAAAGACCTTGCTTTTCCATAATCAGGCCTTCGATGGTTGGCTCGCTTCATCAATATTTCAGATTCAGACTATTACGCCAGTAAACGACGATATGGATGAAACGGATCTTGTCGCATGCGGTTCGGAACTCTTGCAACAGGTCTCGGCTAATTTCTCATCATATCAGGAGAGGCCGAAAAACTTCACGGACAGCGAGATGTCATTGATTCGTGAGAAAGGTGCTGGTAGTGCTCCAAAACAGTGTCAGGTAGACTGAAGCATTATTTTCCTGGAATTCGAACTTGCTTTTGCTACTTGCCTTTTTCAGCTGTGTGGCCATTGGATAACCGCCAAGAATGTAAGAGCACACGTAGCAACGCATCTCACCATCAGGAGGTATGAAAGTCAACGTGGATTCAACCGATTATGACGAATGTTTATAGTTGGATGGTTGAGACGCGTGCGTGTGCGTGGCTACTCCATGAATGTTCAAAAGTTGAATTGTCCGCGAACATGTGACACACACCTGTGCCGATTTTTTTGCTTACCCCACCATGATAATGTGTGGTCAAGGTTTTGATCGCATGAATCGTGCTTCGATACACGTTGAAAAATGCCATGCAGGAGATTCTGGAGCAAAGGTGGAGTCGGCAATGTAAGTGGTACAGTTTGTATCGGCCCTCTACATTTCAGATAAAAGCAACATCCACACATTAAGTTGTCTGGTACCCATCCAGGCGAGTTAGCTCATAACCTAGCGAGCACTCCTTGAATGTGTTAAGAGATAACGCCCATTACTATCGCATGAGGTTCAACGGATTGCCTCTATTGAATGCTTTCATAGTCCACAATTTGGCCCGCGAGCGAGCGATTGAGGTGGCGCTAACCCGTTGTTTACAATGGGAGACGGTCGTTTGGCGCGATGGACGGGGTTCCGCCGCCCATTTGAGGGTTTTAGGGTGAACAACTCGTTCACATTGGGCAACCCTCTGTCTGTCTTCTCCAGCTGATAGAAGCGCGATCAATGGCGTCGCTATTATTAGACGCCGAATTGCGGATCTGCTTGTATTCTGCCTACATACATCATCCATTTGCGCTTTCGCTGATTTTTTATTGCTTCTTGTCCCTTATCTCCATGGATACTGTCCGAAAACGCAAAATGGATGATGTATGTAGACAGAATACAAGCAGGTCCGCAATTCGGGGGGAGAGTCTAATTGTAGCGCCATTGATCGCGCTTCTATCAGCTTTAGAGAACAGACAGAGGGTTGCCCGA